TTATTCGTAAAACCCTACCTTCTTGAGTAGCATGCACTTGCCAAAGTTGTCCTCTTCATTTTGCTTGGTTGTTGTCTAGGTTGTCGTCTTCATTTTGCTCGGTTTATTCTTAAGCACATAATATGGATGTCGACACCATGGGTTAATAGTCCAGAACCAAACTTTCTGTTTCTTGTTTTGTGTCGATACGTAATTCAGAGTGTCAACATTATACGTTCAACGTCAAACATTCAAGTTTCTTATTCTGTTTCAAATCCTACTTCTATTTCAATTAGGGTTTCTAAAACCTTATAAATACCCATCCAAATTCAGAATTAAAAAAGCTTAGGACGCTGGTGGCAGCCCTCTTTTAGGTATTCTTGGAGATCAAGATAAAGATTTAAGAATTTGTTTATAATTTTTAAATCTTTTTAATTTTTACAATTGTAAAAGAGTATAAGAATTTGTTTATAATTTGTACTTTTTTTAATTATGTTTCTATTTATTTGGATATTAACGTATTTTATATTTATATTTTTTACTTAGTGCTAAATTTATTTACATATATATTTAATAGTGTTAAAAACCGATCAATCTGACCAAACCACACCGATCCGATTTAAATTGGATTGGTTTGGTTATCATATAATAGTGGATTGGATTGGTTTAAAAATTTTACTAACCGATTAAATTGGATTGGATTAAAAAATGTTAAAATCCGAACCAAACCACTCCGCGAACACCCCTAGTGCTAACTTCGATGTTTAAGTCTAACTTGGTTTTGGAACCTAAACAGAATTTGCAATAATTAGATGGTTAAATGTTAATTTTGGTCTCTTAACTTTAAACTTTTCCATGATTTTCATCTTACAATTTTTTATGTATTTTTTTTTTTGTCCTTTAACTATATAAAATACATTTTTTTAACTTTTTTATTAATTAGTCTGTTAGATTTGTCTATATATGTATATTTTTAGTTTCTAAATTTTTAAATTGAAGGATAAAAATTGTGTAAAATCCTAAAGTTAAAAGACTAAAAATGTAAATATGGATAAATTTAAAAGATAAATTAACAAAAAAACTAAAAAGGTATATTTTTCATGGTTGAAAGATTAAAAAAATGCATAAAAAAATTCAAAGACAAAAATTATACAAAATCCTAATGTTGAGGAACTAAAATTGACATTTAATTTAATTAGATTCACTATTAGCTTTAGGGTAATTACTAGCCAGCTGGGACTAGGGGACCTCGTGCTACATACTTGGGTGAAATAACTCTTCTTCTTCGTGACCTTCGATTTTTACACTGTTTGAAATTTTATCAATCTCCACGCTGTAATGCCCTTTCTAATTTTAGTTGTGTTAGAATAGTAATCCAACACCAGTGCAATGCATCATGATAGGCCACTGGTCAAGAAGAGATCCATTAAGGAAAGGGCATACAGAGAAGCTCGCTACCCACACCATGATAAGTAGACTAATACGAATTAGATACTTGTGGAGTGTTATAAATAAAAATTATAAATGTTTTTTTATTTATCATTTTTAAAATAATTACATTTTAATTGGGAGTTTTTTTCTTTAAAAATTATAAGTTATTAATTTAAGTATTAGAGTGTGTTTTTTGCAAACCAATTCTCAAATTTTACAGGGATTCGAGTCGGAGCGAACCCCAATCCAGATTGCAACCCAACCAGAGTATTTTTTGTTTCAACAAGTTGGCTGCGGATTCATCTTGTCTAGAACTTTGTTACAGTTTCGGAGTTAGTTTTACATATCTATTATGGGGAGAGTTGGTGGTGTGAGAATGCAAAATAAAAAAATCAGTGAGACAGTGGGTCAACGGGCTCCAGAGAAAGAAAATTCAAGTCACAAAGATGATGAACGAAAATTTAAGACAGAAGCTAT